CTCTAACCCGTAACTACAGTAGTTACTAAGGTAGCCTTTAAAGTCACTGCCCATTTGTAGTAAACATCATCTGATCAAAAGAATTGAAGAATTTCTTCTCTGAAACAAGTAGCAAATAATTGGCCATACGATTAGCCATAGCAGTGTACTCTTTGATGAACAAAACATGTGATCTTTAGAGACATACTTCAACTTTAGACTTGTTTTAATTACTTAAATGTTCACAAATCGATCTGTCTCCTCTCGTACATTTTTAAAGTATCGTCAACCTATCGTTTCTTAAGTTCACAAAGAAAACTAGGAGGAAATATCATGGTAGACGGCGATCGATCCATGAGCTCACAACAGTATATAATATTATCTATTACAGAAATAATTAACCTCGCCTGGTTAACTAGTCCACTAGTTACTAGCCCGTCCTAAGCCCGGATAAACAAGGAAGGTTGGACATAGGGATAGCAATCCTACATCGTAAAACCAATCCAATCGCAAAAGAAGTTTAAGAGCATAAAGAAAATATAAAAACTAAAAACAAAATTATTCCTTGCTGAAATCGGAAAAACGAAATGACACCCGTTGGTGAAAGCCTTCACAAAGCCAGTCGGCCGATATGTCTTCTCCCCTTGATGAAAGCGAAAGTAAGTATGAGGACATGGAATGTCGGCACTATGCATGAACCTAGCAAGGCCTTACAGATTGCAAAAGAGATGAGGAGGTATGCCACGAAAGTGCTAGGAATCTACGAGGAATCTGCAGATCGAATGGAGGTGGACTCACCAAAATGTCAACTGGAGAGGAGTCAATAATCTACTCCAATATTGTCTGTCACCCAGACGACAACCACGAGCACACTGAGTTTTCGACTGGCTATCATGATATCCCCAACAACATCAAAGACTCTCATGCAGTGGGAACCAATCTCCTCCAGAGTCAGGATCATGACAGCAAGATAGATTCGAATCAAAAGGAAGGAAAGTCACAAACATACAAGGAGGAAACAAAACAAGGAATGCACCTACAAATAATGCAGATGAAGAGAGAAGGAGGAATTCTACAGACAACTGCAATCAGTAATAGACAAGACCCCACTGCAGATTTCAATATCGAAGATTATTCGAATGGTTGACAATAATGCCAAACTTGGAGCTGACAACACAGGAAGAGAACTCATCATGAGTCGAGAAGCACTCGATGAAATGATGAACCAGAATGGAGAACTGTTTGCGGAATTCTGCGCATTCAACGATTTGGTGATTGGAGGCAGTGTGTACAAACACAAGGATATTCACAAAGTGACTCGGATTCGATTTCACCAAATCGACACACTACACTAAAAATCAGATCGACTTTATCTCAATCTGAAGAAAGTGGAGATGCAGCCTACTGCACACAAGATCAGGAAGGGGAGCAGACGTAGGTTCACACCACCTAACATCCAGTGCAAGGAACCTTGAAAATCAAGTCGAAAGCCTTCAAAGAAGTTGGTGATAGACCACAGTTCAAGTTCAACACCCAGAACAGAAACTGAAGGACATCTTCATGTTAGCCATCAGAACGAAATGGGTGACGTTGAGCAACACCTCTGAGGGATCGGGCGTGGAAGAACACTGGAACTGTTTGAAAGATGTGTGAAAAGAAACCCACATAACAGTACTAGGAAGGAGGAGTAAAAAAAAACAAGGAATGTATTTTGAAGAACAGATGGAATCTGATGGAGTAGGGAAAGGAAGATGGTGAAGTAGTAGATGAACCAGTGAGGTGCATGGATGAATAACGAAAAGAGGAACTGAACACAATCTAAAAAACTACACTGAACAAAGAAGTGAAGAGGAGTGCATGCGAAAATAAAAACACTTCTACAACACACTGGCAAGTGAAGCAGAACAGGCTGCATGTAGGAGAGACAGAGACCTGACATGACATCATATAACCAGGTTACTATCTGGGAAGAGATCAATGCAAACGACACAAATGAGAGATAGTGAAGAAAGCTAGTTACCACAGATGAGAAACAAAGGAAATGATGGGCTGACCACTTGAAAAAGCTCTTGAATCAACCACCATCACCAGCCGTAACTCGTCCAGAAATACTACCAGCAACCTAGCCAGGTTAAGCTACGCATCATCATCGAACAGAGTATAGAATGGTAGTCAACTCCCCACCTCAACTTCATTGACTTTGAAAAGACCTTCGACAGCGTCGACCAAGAAAACTACTCATCTGTTAAATGTTTCAAAGTTGACTGTACAATTTTGAAATAATTCTCAAGTTGAACAATCATTAGTTCAATAGACATCAGGCTAGGTAACCTCATTACTACTTTACTTAGGGTTAGACTAAAGTCATCTAGCCTGATGTTGTAACGTGTTCAAGGAGAGACATCAAAGCTGAAGAAACACAGGAAAACAGGTACGTCTTGTAGTCTAGTATATGTAGCCATAATTACTACTGACCTACTGTTTTGCACTGCAGTCATACTGAAAAAGAGGAAACTTTATAGACAGGAATTTTTATCCTGACTACATACAAACATTGATATATATTTGCTGCAAATTTAACTTATAATGAAGATTTGTTCTACTTTGTGTATAGTTGTCATGACGACCCACTGCAATGATTCTTCCTAGCTGGTAATAGTAACAGTATTAATCGTAATAATGGCGAGTTCTTAATGACTTCACCATGTGAACTAAGATAAACAATAAAAGCAAAAAAACGTTTTGTTTGAAACTATACACAAGTTATCCTAAATGAAATATGATATATATGAAAATTGTACTGCCCAGAAACAAAGAGCCAGCTGCAAACGATCACCTGTAGGGTTATGGTTATGCACTCCTGAGGAGTCCCTATGCTAGGACGAAGCAGCTGCCATCTAGTTCTCCCAGATTTCCGATGATTCTCCAACTGATGTCAGTTCATGATGAATACCAACCTGAAATCAATAAATAAATCCTTAAAAACCTCCGAAATGAATAACTTTCTACTTTTCATTAGTGACTTGCTTCAAGATGAGATTCCCGAAGTTCTAATTAGAAGTCTTGACCGGTGGAGTCAACTAGATTGGATGTAAAAGCAGTTACTCAACGACAGCATTGGATGGAGGTCACGCTATATCACCAACTAACAGAAGTAGGAAATGTAGACCATTCCATTTCAACCCAGTGGTCCAACACTAACGCGTCGGCAGAGGAACCTGAAGATGCTGGGTTCTACCTGTGGAGGGATGGGTCATGGGTGCATACTACTACTAATAATAATAATAATTAGTTGTATTCAACAACAAGTTTATTGATAAGACTATGCTTAACATGATTCTCTTCACACATTGCACAAGCTGAATGATCTAGTATGGTTGAATCTCTGTATGTAGTTGTGCGTGTATAGAGTTTAATAGATTTGCTTCCCAGATGATAGACATGGAGAGAGGTAGGACTGTAGAGGATGCTTGCCATCAGATAAAATATTTGTAGCCAGAAATCTACAAAAGTTCAGATGCCTATCCACAACCATATTTATCAACAGGGTTAGTAGTGTACCACTTGCTCTACTAACAGACTTTAAAATCCTACCCAATACAGAGTAGTCTTTTTGCTGGAAGCCAGGAGAAAATAAGAGGAAACAATAAGTAAGTAAGCATGAGCAGAACATAGGAATTAATGCAGCATAAGAGTAGAGGCTGCTTTCATTAACCTGAGATCAGCGTGGAGATCTACTGCACTCAGCGCAAACAACAAGATACGGATTTTTAACACCAATGTCAAGTCAGTGCTGCTATATGGTCCAGAAACTTGGCGCGTCACAATAAGCACTTCCAACAAACTACAGATATTCACCAACAGCTGCCTCCTACGCTCACCCCATACTGAAGATCAGATGAGAAGGCGAGAAAGAATAAGCAAGGAGGAACTCTGGCGTGGCAACGAACCAACTAACCAAGAACCCATCGCCCAACAAATATGCAGAAGAGAGAGGAGATGGATTGGATCGGGCATACACTGAGAAGACCATTCGGGGACATTAAGCGCCAGGTCAGGTCCTCGAGTGGAATCGAAATGGAAAACGACGAGTTGGGCGTCCGAGGGTGAGATGGAGGAGATCATGTGAGGAAGAAATGAAAGGTTTTGGGCAGTCGTAGTGCTAGGTCTAAAATACTGAAGAGAACAGAGTGAAATGGGGGTGTGCTACTGAAGCCCTATGTTCCACTAGGAACCCAAGGGAAAATAAAAAAATAATAATAAGAGTGGAGGCTAAGTTATCCTAGACAATCTGAGTTTCTTTGTATGAAAGGTTAAACAAAAGATTGTTTTGGAAATTAGTAAGACATGAGAGGACCAAGAAAGATCAAAAGAAATCCACAAGCCAAGATGGTTGACGCTTGTTACAACCTCAACAACAGAGTCATCTATACGACAAGAGTCATGGAAGTGAAACTTAAGCTGAAATTAATCATCTGACATTTGTAGGGATTGAGTGTGAGATCATTCAAGGAAGACTAGTGACTAATTTCGGTTGGGAAGTTATTAAACTGAGAACAATCTGAAGATGAGATAATCGATGCTGTTAAACCATCTGTGTACTTAACAAAGTTAGCTTTGGTCGTGGTTGGTAGGTCAGGTAAGAAGAAAAAGAAAGGAAAAGGAGAAAGGATAGCACCTTCAGGCGTACCAGCTTCACTAAGTAGCGAAGCAGTGCGCTTCCCTTTGTGTAGAATGTACTGTCTTCTCTCAGAAAAGTAAGAATAAAGTCAGTCGACAATCCAGGACTCAGTGTGAGTCTTGGCACGTCTGTTTAATAAAAGCGGTCCAGGAACAGAATCAAAGGCTAATCTAACATACTTAGCACCTTCGTCCAAACTACCAGTCATATTATGACATAAAATAACTGCAGTATCTAAGGCACTCGTCCTGGGATTGTAGAGATTTTCCCCTAACTTCATTACATGCTCTTGGTACTGTCAATCACTTAGGAATTTATTTCTTACTCAGAAATTTCTTAATCAACTTGAATGATAGAAATGACAAACTACAGAAGTTTCTAAAAATTTTAAAAGCAAAATCTGGACTCAATAGTAGGTGCTGATTGAGGGTGAGTCGCTGCAGGATCTCAACCCGCGGCTTCCGAGTTACTAATCCAGTGCCACACCATCTGATCTATGAAACGCATCTCTTGATCAGGTCTTAACTTCAGTTTAATCACCGAGCATGGGGGAGGGGCAGTGATTATGATAAATAGGTAATAACGTAGCATAGAATCACATGGTGGCAGGGTAAATCTCATGATGAGGTTAAGAACTGGTTAGAAGATAGGATTCATAGCTCAGTCGATAGAACGCCGGACCCACTAGCCCGAAGTGTGTATACTCATTCAAGTCCTGCTGCGATTCAGGTTTTCATTTCACCTTCAATCATCACCCTGTTTCAATAACACCAGTTTAGTGAACGAAAGCTATCTCAGACCAACATCAATAATAGGAATAATTTCATCGCCTTTGGTAATTTAAATAGGCAATTTTGATATAAGATTCACTTGGTAAGTAACAATCTATCCGGTTAGTGGATAATATGCACTCATACAGATTTAAATGCATGTGAGTGAACGAATACACACAATAGAAGGTCACTAATTTCTATTACAGGCTTGTGAGATGTGGTTGTTAAGGATGGATAACATTCAGCGATCCTGAGAAATTGGACACCTGAGGCGATGGTCTAAAATTTAGCATGTATGCTGATCAACAATGGACCGAAGGTTTAGAAAAACTTGGGCATTGAGTAAGTATGATTCATCGTATAAGGTGAATTCGACTTGTATTATCGCAGCGAAGTATTTAAGAACGAATAACGTTTCGATCTTACCAATCCTTCTTTGACCCTTTTCAAGAGTATGAATCTGATAGAAGTGTGTAACAAAACTTAAACCCGAAGACTTAATATCAGATTGATACGTTTGAAAAGGATCTTTCCTGGCAAGATTAAAACGTTGAGGAATAATAGGAAATATTTCCTAATTTTTGTTATTTATTCTTATATATTTCAGTAGGATAACACAAGTGGATTGTGCTTTATCTGCCTAGCAGATTCCATTCCATCTGTCATTTGCATGAACAGAATTCATTCTAGACTAACTGGTCATTGATATGGAGCCGAAAGTGATGGGCGTTGGGTTCTAGTCTACGTGAGAACAACACTATTCAACAGAATGCCCGTATGTTGAGTTTATTAGTCTCGATAACTAACCATCATAAAAAGAAAGCTACATATACCAAAATGAAATTGAAAACAATACTAATACACATTTATTCAGTGATGGCATATAGCTAAAAAAAAAAGCTGATCAAATCAATACAGTAAGATTACGAGTGTCAAATTCAGGGGAAAATATTCCCCCCTCAACTCGAAACAAGTCATTTCAATAATACACTGTACTGGGTGTTGCTTATCAGGATAGATATAAGTAGTATATGTTGAGAGGGTGGGCAGAAATCATAGGGAATTATCAGAAATGGGTAAAGATTCCTCCCAGAGAAGAGACAAGAGACAATGTGGATATATTAAGAGAAAATCAAGATAAAAGCAGAAGAGGAAATAAAGTAAATGATTGACTTAGTGTAAGGTGTACCATATTTGATGACTACATCATTCCTCCTTCCTGCATCTCAGTCTTCTCGTTTCCTACCGTATAACCTGTAAATAAACTTGAATTTTAGATATAAAAGTTCATTTTATATATATATATATATATATATATATATATATATATATATATATATATAAGATTAACGCATACAACACTCATGCACAATCTTACTCTTTGAATGGTTTGTACTTGGTGCTACTGGTGCAGGAAGACCAAGAGGTTGACCCCATTGTTTCACAGGATCAAATGTTTCTTCACTTGGACTACAATGTGGTGATGATCTTGTATAGTGTATATCTTGTATTATTTGTTCTCCATCTGTATAACATTTACTGAAATTATCTATTTCTTTAGATGGAGTAGTGGATAAGATAGTAGATGGTGGAGGAGTTGTTGTTGTTGTTGTTGTGACAAGATGAGTTGATATATCTTCATCATTTACTTCATCTATTGGATATGAAATTGATGATTTCATGAATTCACTTGTTACATCCTTTGAAAGGAAATTGGTGATATTTGATCCATCAATCTCTGTCTCCAAAAGATAATGACCATGGTTACTATTATTACCATTATTATTCGAATGATTATGATGATTTTCGTCTGTAAATGAAGCAGAAAAACCGGGGGGGGGGGGGGAACAACATTGTTAACAAGTTGTTCATTATTTAGAGAGAAAGGTGGAAAAAGAGAAAATAATTGTACTTGCTGTGTCAGTGACCAATGTAGAAAGTTATACAATGTTACATAACTTCTAAGTGTACAGTATCAAGTTTGCTACAGACTTTCCAGTTTAGAGTATATCACTGTGCGTTCATCAACACTCAACTTAATAACACCGATCTATCATCTCAGTGAATTTTCAATGTGATTCCCTTGATTAATGAATAACCACAGTCAATTCGGTTATACTATGGATACTTCAGGATCTTTTTTACCTTACATTGATGCCAAAGTTTGTGAGACATGGCAGTTAAAAGTTGAACGTATGAAGCGGTTACAGGTTTTTGATCTCATGGGTCTTCGTAGAACTGCTCACGTTTGATGGAATCACCGTGTGAGCAATGTTGAAGTAAGGCGAAGGGTACAAGACAGCCAAGTCGATGGATGAGGTTGTGAAGCTTTATGGATTGAGATAGCTTGGATATATACTGTGTATGCCAAGCCACTGCCTAACTTGATCTACTATGTAGGGGGAAGTTTGATTAGGTTGGAAGAAGGTTCAGAGTGCCCAGACCAAGACTTGGCACCAATCGATGAAGACCCTGACTCCTGGTCTAAGTGACGCATGGAGATGTAGACCACCTGGATACGGTCCCCGGAATGTGGTTGGGGACTCTCGGCGATAAAGCTGAGAATCAGTGACAATGGTGTAATTGTACTCACTCTTTGACATTTTCCAAGGCTTGAATACTCTCACTAATCTTTTTTTTTACCCTCAAACAACTTTGTCCACCTTGGTACTAGCCTTTATCCATTCACTTATTGTTTGCAAGGTGTTGTGCAGTTCAACGACTTGAGTGAAAGCACATGTGTGCTAGGTTCCGCGTTCAATTTGCCTATCTCTCTATCTAACAGATGCAAAAGCTGACAATATAGTAGGTGAACGAACTGAGAGTACTTACCACATTACATCCATCTTGCTCACTTCTTGGTGAACAACAGTTTAACATATATGCAAAAGTTTCAACCAGGTTTCGTTACGTTCGGCAATCTTATCCGTCGAGCACTTATCTCAAATTCGATTCTACTTATGTATCATCTATCTGATAAACAATATATTGTACCAATCTGCATCCTACCTTCAACACCTCAATAACATTAATCTGATACACTAGAAATAAAGTCCTCTTATGCCTACTCGATCAGCTCAAGTTTGTTACAATTTATCGGTGTCCAGCAACCTTAAACACCAACTTAGTTAGTATCTAAATACATTGTATAAGGTGTATTTTTACTTGTTTAATCCCCGTATGGTATATTAACACAAAAAACAAAGTTAACAACTATTTTGTACCATTCCTCAACGTTTCAATCTTGTCAGGGATGATCCTTTCCAGGAGTATTAATCTGACAATAAGTTTTCATGTTTATATTAAAGTTACGGTACAGAAGGTGATGACCTTTACGATCATCCAATTACATCATGATATGGAACAAAGGGCAATGTAATGCAGGTTGGGACTCGGTCGTGAGTTCGAGTCTCAGTTGGGAAAAACACTTGCTGGGTGGAAGGTGCATCCAGCTAACGAGTCCTAAATAGGACGAAATGCGCATCCTGGATTCCATTGGTAGCTACTATCCATCATGCGTACTTCAACTGCTATCAAAAGTACCTTTATCGTCATCACCATTATTATTACTACTTTTATTTATTGTATATTGTTTGATGTTCAAATCTGCATCCTTCCAAAATAGTAATCTATGCTTTCTCACACTTGATGACTCACAATCTCACTGTACTTTACATAATTGGAGTAAATTTCCCCACCATATTTTTGTTCCATATTACGTGCACAATTGGATAAAGCTTGTCTGATCGATTTGTTAATCCAGTTACCTGTATTACATTGCCCTTTGTTCCATATCATGATGTAATTGGATGATCGTAAAGGTCATCACCTTCTGTACCGTAACTTTAATATAAACATGAAAACTTATTGTCAGATTAATACTCCTGGAAAGGATCATCCCTGACAAGATTGAAACGTTGAGGAATGGTACAAAATAGTTGTTAACTTTGTTTTTTGTGTTAATATACCATACGGGGATTAAACAAGTAAAAATACACCTTATACAATGTATTTAGATACTAACTAAGTTGGTGTTTAAGGTTGCTGGACACCGATAAATTGTAACAAACTTGAGCTGATCGAGTAGGCATAAGAGGACTTTATTTCTAGTGTATCAGATTAATGTTATTGAGGTGTTGAAGGTAGGATGCAGATTGGTACAATATATTGTTTATCAGGTAGGTGATTATTATTATTATTATTGTTTGTCCCTTGGGTTCATAGTGGAACATACGGCTTCAGCAGCACGTCGCCATTACACTCTCTTCTCTGCAATCTTTTGGACTTGACTCCAAGACTGCCAAGAAGCTCTCATTTCTTCCTCACACCATCTCCTCCATGTCACCCTCACCTCGGACGCCCAACTAGTCGTTTCTCATATGGGTTCCGCTCGAGGGCCTGGTCTGATGCGTGATGTCCCCGAATGGTCTTCTCAGTGTATGCTCAATCCAATCCATCTCCACTTTCTTCGAGTGCATATTTGTTGAGCGATAGGTTGGTTCGTTGCCAGAGTTCCTTGTTGCTTATTATTTCTGACCATCTTGATCTTCAGTAACGAGCCAGTGTAGGCGGCAGTTGTTGATGAATATCTGTAGTTTGTTGGAATTCCCTTTCGTAAAGCACCAAGTCTCTGAACCATATAGAAGCACTGACTTGACATTCATGTTGAAAATCTGGATCTTGTTCACGTTTTATGCTGAGTGCAGAAGATCTCCATACTGTTTTCAGGTTAATGAACGCCTATCTTGCTTTTTCGATCCTGGTTTTGACATCTTTGTCTGTGCTGCGTGTAATTGAAAAGGTGCTGCCTAAATAGGTGAAAGAGGCTACTTCCTTTAAGTTTCTCCCGTTGATGGTGAGATAATTGCTCGGCAGATAACATTGCTGAACGTAATGAAACCTGTTTGATACTTTTGCATATATGTTAAGCTGTTGTTCACCAGGAAGTGAGCAAGATGGATGTAATGTGGTAAGTACTCTCAGTTCGTTCACCTACTATATTGTAAGGGATCAGTCAAGTAAAAATATTCCCTATACGACGAATCCTACTTCCTGACTGCTGTAGTTTTTTCAAACCATTCAGTCCAATATTGATGAGGATACATTCAGTGTCTTGATAGCTTCATTACACAGTGTTCTGAGTGTATTGTTAGGTTAGAGGCTAGTGAGTTTTAATATCATTAATAACATAACTCATCCATCGTTAAACGTATTATGAACACATTCAAGCTAAGATATAATATACACGAACCAAAACCTGATCAAAAAGTACAATCAAGAAAATAACTTCACCTCTACAATGAAACTGTTCTCTTCACGATAGTAACATATATGATTTAAGCCTGCTAAGATGCTAAGGTATTTGGAAACAAATTTTTCAGCTACTTCAATTCAACTATAATATCCGAAGAAGGCAATCAAATGATAACAGCATATGAACAGATATCTATTTGTTGGATGGACTACCTACACTTATAGTCCGTTAGAGAATATGATCGGAACTAAGAGATTCTACTGATTGATCATCAATTCAGGAGATCTATAACCTTATGACATAAGAGGTTAAACATATGAAGAGATAAATTCCATGGTATTTACTAATGAACTCAATTATAAGTGTATCATCCATTGAATGACTACCAGATGAAATCTAAGAGTACTTATCATTTATTTCAATTCACTATACTAACTAGATGTAATTTCTCAATAAAATACAAGTTAATTGTCATTGATGATAATTATCAATTTGAAAATTATTAAAATTACTGATATTAGTTTCAAAGTTAATAGACTGATTGAAATTCTCTAAATGTTATTTTTGCCAAAAATCCCCCCTTCCATAAATATTTTTTCAACTAATAAACAAAAACAAATAACTTTTGGCACAGTCCTAAAAAAAGCAAACTAATCACCTTCATCTATAACCATACTGATTAAAGGGAATATTAACGAATAAAACAATACTGTTTCCCGATTGAATTAATTTTAAAAAAAATAATTTAGAGGTAGTATTCACCATGAATTGATATCAATTGGGAAACTATTGAAAAAGATAAGAGCATTGAACAGATGTTTCATAAGAACACGGAACGTCTCAGCAACATGCACTCATGAACCGGTAGGGAATCGAAATCAGGATCTTCAAGTTTTACGGTGAACACGTTAACCATTCAGCCTACTTGGTCGGTTTTCACTGGTGTCAGTAATGTCAGTCCATGAACCCATAAAGTAAAACCCTCATTCATCTCAAAATTATATTACTATTTATTCCTCATTAATAACATGCTTCAAGATGAATATCACAAACTTCTAATAAGAAGCCATAACAGGTGGTGGGATCAACCAGTCGGAAACGAGGTGGATACCAACTGAAAACCTTGGATGATAGTTGATCTATATCGTGAATTGATAGAAGTTGGGACCGATGAACTCCTGAACTCCAACCCACTGACTGAATAGTTAACGCATTCGTCGTGAAACCTGAAGGTCCTGAGTTCGATTGGTATTCGGATGGTAGGTGCATGCTGTTGAGGAGTTCTGTGTTGGGATGAGACAGCCATCCAGTACTCCTATCTTTTCCAATAGTTCTTCAACTGATGTCAGTCCATGATGTTTACCACCTCTAAATCACTGCTAGTAGGGGAGCATCTAAGTTATCGGACAGACGAATAGGATAAAAGTACACTAAACAAAAGTTTGCTAATAACCAAAATTACACATAAGTAATAAACATTTGTTCAAGTCTTAACTGTAAAAACATCAATTAAGTGAATCCAGGTTTCTTCTTGACTTTAAACTGTAAACATCTAGCATTAAAATATACTACAGTGTGTTACATAATTTTGTTTATTGGTTAAATTATGAAAGTGAATTCCATCGACACTTTACAGATCAACAGATAAATTGATTACCCGAAGGTATGATGATAGGATTAAATGGATTACTGGGGAAGTCATTGACTACAGTACTAAGTGGTATAAATCAAAGTCATTAGAAAAACATCACTTTCATCAAGATTAAGGAGATACTATCATGATAAATACCAGTAGGTAGGGAATGTATTTCTTTTTAGTTTATGAGGCCTTTTCAACCGTGATTCAACGTTGTGCAACAAAAATTCCTGTTAGTTCAGAGTACAACAGTCGACAAGAAACACTCTAATAACAGACAAGATTTTCTGAACTTTTCATATAGTCTTTAGATTTCATATATCGTTGAAACAATTGCATAAAAAGTAAACAATTTAAGGTAGTATTCATCACAGACTGATAATAGTTAGAGAACCATTGAAAATCTTTGAGCGCTGGATAGCCGTTTCGTCCCGACATAGAACTCATTAGCAGTAGGCATCCATATCCAAACCCAGTACCTTCAGGTTTCCTGGTGAACGCATTGACCATTCGACTACTGGGTTAGAGTAAAGTGGTCCACAGTTTCCTGCTTCTGTCAGTACGCGATATAGTGTGACTATTATCCAAGATCTTCAGTTGGTATCCACTTCCCTACCAACTGGATGACCCCTTCATGCTTACAGATGAATAACACGAGGCTTTAATCAGTGGTGACAGTCATGCTATATCCCTAACTGGAAGAAGTAGGAAACTCTGGACCATTAAATTCCGACCCAGTGGTTGAATAGTTAACGCGTTCACAGCCTTGAGTTCGACTCCTGGTTGGGTTGTGGATACATACTGCTTCGGAGTTCCATGTTTGAACGACTGTCCAGTGATTCAAGGTTCCCATAGGTTCCCCCAACTGATGTGAACACGCCCACATAACATAGAACAGAACGCAATAGGAAGGGGAAAAATACAACAATCAAAGTACCTTGATTATTCTTTAACGCACTCGATGTATGACCGGCATACCCATTTGTATCACCATTGACATTGTATCCATTTGTATACGGATATCCATTGTTCTCATGCAGCAAATTACTGTCATTATTAGTGATGTGGGCAGTTGTGGTGGTGATATTCACTGAACTATTCAAATCCTTTAAATTATTATCATTTTCAAGGTGATAAGAATCATCTGATTGACCTTGAAGAGCGCTGACACCATTGATATGTTGTTCAGCAGTCATACTACTAATACCATTAGTAGTAGTAGTAGTGGTAGCAGTATAATCATCACCAAAGGTAGTAGGTGAAGGCATAAACAGGTTGGTATTATTGTCACCTGCAGGTGATATTATCGACATCATTTCTGTATTGTCATTATTTGGTAACAATGAATAAGACTGTTGAGGAATGCTAGAATAGTTCAAAACTTCATCCAGTGTAGGAGTTTCATGCTCTTGTCTGTTTAACTGTTCATTCATACATAGCATAGCATAGTCAGCATCAGTTGTATCAACACCATTATCATCATCATCATGCTGATAAGTTGAAGTGACAACATTGTAATTTGGTGATATTGGTCGATTTGGACTGGAAACTAGAGAATTAGCCTCTGAATCTTGATTTCGTTGGTCAAACTGTTCATGTTCATCAGCATACTCTTGCTCATCATAGTGTTGTTGACTTTCGCATTGTTGTACAATAGAATCCATGGAGATTTTTGAGTCTGGACTCATGAATCTATATTGAAAAAGAAATAAAGATATCAATTATTAAGTTGATTACTTTCAAATATAATTTAGTATGATGTAATCTTAGGTAACGAATGAACAAACGGAATAGACCTAGGATCTCGTAAACAAGTGGATTGATTCAATTTGCTACATGTCATAGAAGCATACCAGAAACAAGTGGATAAAAAAAAAAGAATGATATTAAAATAGACAGAGGTGTATGGAAGGAGAAAACATTTGAAAATGAACGTTAGTGAAAAGAAACAACTTTTAGAAGACGTCAAAGAGTGAATATATCTGCGATATTGTGATATATCTTCAATCATGTTACTCCAGATTCGTATTATTTCTAAGGCTTCAATCAGACAATCTACACCTACTTAAACAGCTGAAATCAACAATTGAAACCTTCATGGACTAATTCCATATCTTCATATGGCCTCCGTAAGTCTTTTTCCAATATAATCTAACTTCTACCAACATTGTGCATCAAGGTAAGCGGTGACTCGGTATGCACCTACCTCAGTCAGTTGAAGGTTTATGGCCTAATCGACTGATTTCCCATTCTAACGTAGTACCATTTGCCTGACAGTGACATTGCTTACACAGTGACTTCATCGTGCGTTAACAATACTGTGAAGATACTTGAGGACAACAAGTAATTTCTTCATATCATCTTTCTCAGTGACAAAATCAAATAGCTAGAGAATGAAAATTATGTGTATGATGATTATACAACCAAAGAACAGTTAAAGGAATTATATATATTCCATTATTATTATATTATTTGTCCCTTGGGTTCCTATTGGAACAAAGGGCTTCAGTAGCACGTCTCCACTCCACTCTGTTCTCTGAAATTTCTTCAATCTTGCTCCACGACAGCCCACAACCTCTCATTTCTTCCGATCACGATCTCCTCCATGTCACCCTCACCTCAGACGCCCAACTCGTTGCTTCCCATTTTGGCTCCACTTGAGGGCCTGGTGAGTGATGTCCGCAGTCGGCCTTCTTAGTGCATGTCCAATCCATCTCCACTTTCTTACACTGCATATTTGTTGAGCGATACCTTCTTGGTTAGTTCGTTGCTGGACACAGTTCCTTGTTGTTCATTATTTCTGGCCATCTGAGCTTCAGTAATGAGCCAGCGTAGGTGGCAGTTGTTGATAAATGTCTGTAGTTTGTTGGAAATCCCTTTCGTAACGTGGCAAGTCTGTCAACCACCACAAAGAAGCACTGACCTGACGTTGATTTTGAAAATCTGGATGTTGTTCACGCTTTATGCTGAGTGAAGAAGATCTGCACACTGGTTTCAGGGTAATGAACGCCTGTCTTGCTATTTTTCCAATTCTGGCTGGTTTTCATGTCTTCGTCTGTGCCTGTACCGCCTGCAGTTGAAACGATACTGCCTAGATAAGTGAAATAGGCTACTTACTTTAAGTTTCTCCCGTTGATGGTGGTTGGAGCTTGTTGTTGTTGTTGTTGGTGGTGGTGGTGGTTGGGTATCTTCATCCCCTGTGTCTTCTCTACGTTCACTTGAAGTCCCGTCTTCACTGCTTCTGTCAACTTGTTAGTTTTCGCCCGTAGATCTCCCAGTTTGAGCGACATTCGACACAAGTCATCGGCGAAATTCAAATATTCTAGGATCTTTTCCTCGGTCCAATATATATTCCATAATTGTGGCTTACTAGTTTTAGCACTCATTCGAATTAATGTACAAACGTCTATTTCACTTAAAAAAACCTACGTGCAATCCTAGCAGAAGTTGGATTAGGTTGAAAGAGGGTTCAGGGTAGCTAGACCAATTTGTGGCACTAGTCGATGAGGTCTGTGATTGTCAGTTCTGAGCCGTGTACGGAAGTGTGGACTACTTGATGAAACGAGATGAAATTAATTAGTGGTTGAGGACTCTTAGTGACAGGGATGAAAATCAGTCATAGTGGTGCAGATATGTCCACTATTTGACATCTTCTGAAGCTTTAATGCGTTGACTAATCATCATTTCCAGAGTCTTCCTTCCATACGCCTTTTCTACTTTGATATCAGTGTTTTTCTGTCCATTTCTTCTTCGTATACAACTGTGAAGTGTGGTAACTTGAGCCGATGCACCTCTGTCCGAGGTTGTACGTTGATTTTATCTATCTGCCTGTCGTGATTAGGGGAGTGGTGGTATTAACTGAAGTGAGATAAAGACTGGTCAGTAATCTATGCAATAAGTCAGTAAGGGGAAGCAGACAGATAAATTCAAGTAGAATCTTCCATACAATCGCATCACTTCAAGGTCTTACATTACACATCTACATATAAACTGCAACGGAATCGAGGGGAAGAAAATGGTGCAGAAGGAAAAAGAATAAATAAGTAACTGAAGTTTGCAGAAATACTCAACATTGCGAAGATGATGTAAGTCAAAAGCGTCCCTGAGAGGGATTATATACATCTATAAATTCATGAATTAGGTTGAGTCAGAAAATACACTGCTGAACAACTGGAGTAGCTGAAAATTACTAAGGCTAATTTGTTGATTTCTCCAGCCAGATCATAGCGATCTAAACACTACACGGTGGTGTACTTGGACAAAGCCAGATCATAGAGATGCATTGTTGAGGTCACTTGAATCTAACTAATTGACTTGCATAGACCGATATGCCTTAAGCAGGATGATCAACCTGCATGTTGTTCAGGAATATAACTCGGTAGTTTATGACACTTTTATGTCAGAGATCACACCTTGTGATCTTTGGTGGCTGGTTTCCAACGGAAAACTTGTTTGTACTGGATGACAATTGAAGGTGAAATGGAAATTTGAACAGCGACCAGACCCAAACCAGAGACCACAGGGTTTCCGGCCCAATGCTCTACCACCTGGGCTAAGAGATTCGAATACTAACTAAATCATCGGGCCACAAAGCGGGTGGTCGCTGGTTCGGATCCGGCCATAGTCCAAATTTTCATTTCACCTTCAATCGTTATCCAGTATAAATACTAGTCTGCCAGACCATGGCTATCTTAGATAGTCAAAATGGTAAGGGAACCCTGATGACACTACAGTTTAATGGCAGTTGAAATAAAACTCAGATGTATGATATGTCTCCATGCACTGAGCAATTTAATAAGGATTTTAATGCTTGAGATAGTATTCATCGTGGACGGATAACAGTTACAGAACCATTGGAACAGATAAGAGTACTGGATGGCTGTCTCATCCCAACACAGAACTCCTCAACAGCATGCACCTACCATCCGAATACCAATCGAACTCAGGACCTTCAGGTTTCACGACGAATGCGTTAACTATTCAGTCAGTGGGTTGGAGTTCAGGAGTTCATCGGTCCCAACTTCTATCAATTCACGATATAGATCAACTATCATCCAAGGTTTTCAGTTGGTATCCACCTCGTTTCCGACTTGGTTGATCCCACCACCTGTTATGGCTTCTTATTAGAAGTTTGTGATATCCATCTTGAAGCATGTTGTTAATGAGGAATAAATAGTAATATAATTTTGAGATGAATAAGGGTTTTACTTTATGGGTAGTATTCATCATGGACTGACATCAATTCGGGAACCAATCAGATTTGTCAATTGTCAAATATAAACTATAAAATTTACAAATCAATGAAAGTCAAACCACCGTGACCTATCAACAAAGTGGAAAAAAATAGTCCTCCGGTATTGAAAATCATCCCCCTTTGGCTGGTTAGTAAAATCTACAGGGATCAATATGAACTGTCTTTTACAATAGGGTTGTTATTTTATTCATTTTGTTTTTAACATACTTTAATCAATTTTATGATTTTTTTTTTCATCACACGTTGATTTTACAAAACGATCCAACAGGCTTATTAGTCACACTTTCATCAATATAAATCACATCATTGTGTTGTCCTTTTTTTTGAATTATTACTGTACATCCAGCTGACGAGTCTCAAATAGGACGAAATGCGCATCCTGGATTCCACTGCTAGCCACTGCCCATCATTACTAAACATAGTTAAAAGACAGGCAATATCGAGGCATCCGCATAGGAGCCCATTAACCAACCGAGACTGATCAATTCGATCCAATCAACGACAGTGTAATACAAGCAATAACACTATTACTGAAACACTTTATTGATTATACAGAGTTACATATCACTGCATATTATTTGTAAAAGAAGAATATCTACAGAAAACCACATGATAACTGTTGTTTAGCACGACTATCATCATTTAGTGTGTGTGTGTGTGTGTGTGTGTGTGTGAGTGTACGAGCAAACATAGAAGAAAGGAGATGGATGATCAGTAAGCTGAACTCATGAAGGAGTGAAAATTGTCTACACACATACACACAGACATCTACCAGATGTCATGGTGACCTGTAGTGAGAAGACACATGAGTGAAAGAAAATAGACAGAGAGAGAGAGGCCATCTCGACCGAGAGAAAAAATAAACAAAATGGTTGTGGTGATGTTGTTAAGATTATGAAAAAGATTCACACATAATATCTAAGATGAGAATACTAATCAGGTTAAATGCTGACCTGATAATTCACCAGAATTAGATTATCAGTAACATTTGGGTAGAAAACCAATAAATCAACTACTCACAACAGGGGGAGTAGATAAAGATAACAATAACTGAGTAAGTTGACCACTATGATGATTGTTTTATAGATAGGAAGTTTGTCCTGGTAGCAAAAGAAATCCCTTACCCCCTTCCTACACACACAGAAAGAATAAGCAATAAGGAACTCTGGCAACGAACCAACCTATCGCTCAACAAATATGCAGAGGAGGGAAGTGGAGATGAATTGGGCATACACTGAGAAGGCCGACTGCGGACATCACTCACCAGGGCCTTAAGTGGAACCCAGATGGCAAGCAACGAGTTGGGCGTCTGAGGTGAGGGTGACATGGAGGAGATCGTGATCGGAAGAAATGAGAGGTTGTGGGCTGTCGTGGAGCGAGATTGAAGAGATTTCAGAGAACAGAGTGGAGTGGAGACGTGCTACTGAAGCCCTTTGTTCCAATAGGAACCCAAGGGACAAATACTACCACTACCACTACTACTACTACTACTACTACTACTACTACTACTAATAATAATAATAATAATAATAATAATAATAATAATAATAATAGTAATGATAGAAATGTTGGTTCATGTAAACAGTGACTCTTAGAGATCAGAATACAAGTTGGTATTCATCATGGACAGACATCGCAGTTGAAGAAACATTGGTAGCCTAGCACCACTGAACGGCTGTTTCGTCCTAGTATAGGACTTCTCAACAGTGCGGATCCATGACCCCATCAAAGATCGAACCCAAAACCTTCAGGTTCCACGGTCACCACGTTATCTCATTGAACCATCTCAAAATCAGAATACCTTAAATAATTACTTAAAAAATAATACCAGTTAACATAAAAGAAATGGTTAATCTTTCAAGAATCGATTGTTCATGCAAGAAGAAACATGAATGAGTGTCAATGAGTTTCTTTTCTAGTTCAAAACATTTGTGTAGTGAACTCGTTGTTGTTGAATCACTCGACCTTTGTTGGCAGATGGATTCCTAAATGGATGTCACTATACTCCCAAATATTCATGATTTTGTATTTATCTTGATGACTAGCAGTGGAACTCAGCATACGCGTTTCATCCTGTTTGGGACTCATCAGCTGGATGTACGTGCACTCTAGTGGGTGTTGTTCCCACTGAAACTCGAACCCACTAGCCATCACTTTAAATGCCAAGGCATTGTACACCAAAACTACTAGAGCATCAGAACTACCTCTTGCCCAAGGGGTATCAGCTGTTTTTGATGCTTGGAATTTCCTACTGCTTGACTTCTGTGACCTAGTAGACAACACAGTGGAATTTTAAGTAGTGAATTCTGACTTCATGTCTCAGTAGGAACACCATCGATCACTGGCATGCAGGTGGGTTCAGCTGACAAGTCCAAAATAAAACGAAACATGCGTCTCCATCAGCCACCACCAGGCAAATAATACGCTATTTCTGTCCACTTCTTTTTGTGCGATGGTAAAATACGAAGTCTTATAACAAGATACTTTTACGTAAAACCCTGTCCATTACTATTGCATTATTGTGAAGTAGGATGTTCCTTAAATCTGTCAAGGAGTTGTATTAGTCACAAAATGTAGATTATAACCGTAAAATTTAGCCATCTTCCCAATAAATCTACATTAAACCATCCTATAATGGGTTCGAATCCGATTCCTTCGCTAACCAAGATTTGAATAACAAGGTCGTATCATCAACCTGTACACAATATGTGTGGCTTGTTGTCTTCTGTACGAATATGCACGCTTTTCCTAGGCTACATTCACTTTTTTTCTTCATGCTTTCCATCAGAGAAACTAACTCACTGAAACAGCGTATAATGTAATCTCGTTGATGCTGAACAGGAAGAGTTGTCTAGCATACAAAAATATAAGTTAAATCCCAACAGTACATTATCCAAGGTTTTTAACGATAGTATTTAGTATAATAGGTTGGGATTCATCATGAACTGACATCAGCTGGAGGAACACTGGAAACTTGGGAGCACTCGGCAGCTGTTTCGTTCTAGTGTGGGACTCCTCAGTAGTGCGAACCCACGACTACAATTCATGTTAGTCCATGATGAATTCCAACCCTAATCAATTATTGAATCTCCACAAACCTCCAGATAGAATATAGTATAACAGTCACACTGAAAACAGACACAGAGACAACAGCAGCAGACATAATCGCACCATTATTGCACAAGGTTTAGAAGGAAGGAAAGGTACCTGCTGATTGGAAAAAGGGCTACCTTGTCAAACCTCCAAATAACGGAGACCTAAGTCTTTTTTTCAGGAACAAAAACTGGCGTGGAATCATGCTCCTGTCCACAAGAAGCAAAATATTAAGCCGCATCATCCTGAAGAAACTAAAAAATGCACTGGATTCAAAATTACTACCGGAAAAGATTGACTGGATTCAGGAAGAACAAACCATCTACCGATCAAATTGCAACGCTACGCATCATCGTAGAACAGAGCATAAAAAGCCAGTCCACTGTACATGTACCTCAACCTCATCGATTTTAAAAAGGCCTTCGACAGCGTCGACCGACAAGTAATTTGACAACTGCTTCAACACTACGGTGTCAGTGCCACAAACCTTTATCAACGTCACTCAACAACTATATGCAGACGCCACAAGTCAAGTAATTCACAATGGGAAGCTCAGTGACGTCTTTGAAATGAAGACAAGAGTAAGCCAAGGCCGCCGCCTACTATCACCGATCATCTTCCTGATTGTGGTGGACTGGACCAGGCAGCAAACCGTGAGGAGCGAGAAGATGGGCACGCTCTGTTTGACCGATGAAAAGAGCCTAGAAGATTTGGATTTTGCCGATGATGATTTATGTCGAATGCCTTATGTCGCACAAACTCGAAGATCTATAGCCAAAAACCAACAAGTTGACAGAAGAGGCAGCGAAGATGGGACTTCAAGTGAACGTAGAGAAGACAGAGGGGATGAAGATACCAAACCAACAAACACCTTTGAACAGGAGGAATCTAAACCATATATAATTCACTTTATGGAATACCAACGTAACAAATGATTATTACAAGCGTAATCACTTACTTCATTTAACTATGAGTACAATACAGATCAAATGTTAAAGACAGTGTGCAGCTAATACTCCTGTCCCTGTGGTTTGTTAGCTTCATGGTTAATTTTCTGCAAATACAGGTATGTAAATGATGAATTCAGCAGTACCTTCGCACATCCCGAACAATTGGTCTTATTACCACATGTATAAACTAGTTGAAACAACACTGGCACTACTGATTATGCTTTATCCGTCGGCAACACAAAATACCTTGGCTCAGTTAGTTACCATTTCCAATAAATGTCAATCACAATCATAACCTATTTCGTGGAGTATATAAAAAAGTTACACGTGTTGGGTGAAGGCTGATAACACCACGTAGTCGTCCAGACTTCGGTATATCGAGCTAGGTTCGTATCCATGACCGATCGGTTGTAAAAGAAGTTTCGGAACCAAAGAGACACAGCTTAACATATCTTTACACAGCATTGATATTTTTTATGTTATACCACCTTATCGTTGATGAATACATACATGTGCTTAAGCAGGAATATTATTACATCTCAACTTCATGAAAACATCTTAAGCTATACGAAAATCTTATGGATGTTGTTCACCAGTTAACAGGAATCAGTAGGAAGGTGTACGCCTAACATCAGAAGGATCAATATCCCTTCACAGATTAAAAACTTGTGTCATCAACTTCTCTAATCAAAGTGATTACCACTGGTTGGATTAGTTGCTTAAAGGCTGAAGCAGAACACAGTGTCAACAAGCATGAAGCCAAGTCTCAAATCTTTAAGGTCATATTAGAATAAAAAGTGGATTTATACTTCAGAGGGAAGAAAAAAGAGAACAGAAACATATCAACAACTTACGGATGATATTCTCTGACATTTTCCGCAGTATCAACATGTAGAGAATTCTCTTCTAACATGTATGAATTATCATGTTTCTCAACTTGATTATTTAATTGTGATACAGATTCATCGAATGTAGTAGAATCGACTTTTTGAACTGATTCCTCCGTTGATTCAACACCTTCTTCTTCTTCTTCTTCTTCTCTAGAAATCATTGATTTTGATAAAATGTTAGAGTAAAACGTATCAACAGTCTGTTTATCATTATCAGTCAATATTTGATCAGTACTTGAGTCAACAGAATATGCAGTATTAGGAGTAAGTTCAGTGTCTAATGAAAATGATGTTGTATGATCATTAGAATGATAGACAGTATGTTGTAGAATGGTTGTATTTTCATCAAATGGTTGTTCAATATATTCATTGTTATCTTGTTTGGAGATCACTTCTTTTGTATAGTTATCAGTAGGTGTCATCATGAACTGGTTATCCAAGTAAGTATCTTCAACATTATCTATAGATTTAGATATTCCAGGCTTTTGATATTGTATTACAAATTCTGTTTCCGTTTCATCAATATCTGATTTGCCTAGTTCATTATCATCTTCATGTTCTATTTCAATATGTTTATCTTGATTTTCAATGGAATCACCTGGATAATCTTCTATGTTCACAGGTTCCATATTATTTGTTGTCATGAATACGTTTTTGATATCTGTTTCTTCATCAAGGTTTTGATTATCAGAAAGTTGGGGTGAATGGTTATATGACTGTTGATGCTCCTCCTCTTCCTCTTCAACATAATGACTATCATCGATATTCATAGACTCCAAGGTTTTTATTTGATCAGTTAACGAGTATGATTCATCAATAAGTATGGATTTATCAGTGAATGGTGAATCGACTGATGTATCATTGATTGGATGTTCTTCATCTCTTTGATCATAAGACTGATTGATATCAAGTTGAGTATTTTCAGACAATAAAATCTCATTTGTTTCTGAAACCAACTGTCTTTGAATTTCTTTTCGTTGTTGTTCATCATAATTGTCTTCAATTTGGTATTTCTGTACACTGGAATCATATGCATCTTGCAACTGTTCAGTCTCTTCATCTATTGGTTCTTTACCCAAGGATGATGATAAATTATCCTGTAGTAGTAGTGATCTTGATGGATCTTGTAGTTGATGTATAATGTCGTATTGGTTTGGAGTTTGTTCACCTTCGATATCTATTGGATCTGTCAGTGATGGTAGCTCATGTTCTTGTTCTCGGTGTTCTTCGTTTTCTTCATCACCATCATCTTCAAGGTGGGATTGTTTGATAGTTCATCTACAGTATAGTGGTCAAATTCTTGTTCAACAACTGTAGTATTATAGTCAGTTATATGTTGTTTTGATTCTAGATAATCATCAGTTATCTCTTTATCAACAGGGAATGAGGATAATTCATTCTGTTGTACATTGTTCATTAACTCACTTATGTAGTCATCATTTTGAATATTTATCATTTTTTGTGTATTTACAGTTAGATCTTCTAATAGTTCTTGTTGACGTCCATCATCTTCGTCAAGTTGTTGTCTTTGTTGCTGAAATTCATCATAATCAGGTTCGAAGACATTATGACCAATCTTTATCTCAGTATCTTCATGTAAACATTGTTCTACTGTTTGATGCTCTTCAACTATTTGTTCATCGTCAACAGGGAATGAAGATGATTCATTGTGTTGTAAACGATTCAGTGAATCAACATGATGTGTCAATTGATTATTATTTTCTATACATGATATGTTCAAATTGTTTGTAGTTAACTCTTCCATTGGCTGTTCCTGTTGATGGTTTTGCCACGTATATGATTCTTGTCCTTCTTCTTCTTCTTCGACTTCTACGACTTGACTTCCATCTACAAGCTTATCCATACCAACTTCATCAACATTAGACTTAGAAGTGACATCATCTACTACGGTTACAGAATACTGAGACTGTTCATCAATCGCCTGTTGGTTAACAGATAGTGAGGATACTTCGTCATGTACATCACTCAATGATTCATTAATACTGTCTTCTATACATTTATTTACATCTAATTTTTCAACCTGACTAGGGATCTCTTCAGGTGATTCATTTAAATCATCCTTTGTAGTAATTTGTTCTTGTTCGACTAAATCAGTGTCGAATGGTGTTCTATACTGTCTCATTTCTTCAGCTACATCATCACATTTCAAGGTGGTTAAGCCAGAATCATCTTCTACGTTAGGTGAAATATTCTCCATCATTTGTTGCCTATCATCTTCATGTTGAACAATATAAGAATTAATATTACTGTTACTGTCATCTACAAGTTTATCATCATACTTTTCTTGTTCCTGTTGATAATTCATCATACTGGCTTCTTTTTGTAAGAAATCTTCCTCATCTTCCTCTTCTTCAGCTAAAGAGTCATTAAATGGTGATGACTGTGGAATATTCTGTTGTTGTTCCTGGCTTAATTCACTCTCCAATTCAAGAGTGAATTGTTCATCTGATTCTTCAGCTAACATTTTATTCTCTAATATAACTTTGTGCACTTTATATTCTTCTTCTACTTCTTGGTGCTGATCTCGTTGTTGTTGTTGTTGTTGAAGCAGTTGACCTGGTGATGGTGGCGGTGATGGTGGTGTTCCTGTTCCCGTAGATATATTCTGTTGACTGTCTGTTATGATTTTGTCAGGAATGGATTTCGCCTCATAGTTCATACCTGATATGTTATCCTGTTGAGAAATACCTTTCCAACCGGTTAATAGGGGATCAACAGAAGTGAATTCAAGTGAATCATTCAAAGTTAAATTATTGTCCGTACTATTCTGAGTAACAGAAGGTGAAGAAGTTGGTGGAACAATAGTTGGCTGTTTGTTAGAATCTGTTACTATCACTTCTCCTCCTCCTCCTTCTTCTTCTTCTTCTTTGATTACTTTTGTACTCGAATTAGGAGTATTACTCTTAAGACTTAAGCCAGATTTTTTTGTTTGTATTTTATTCGGTGTTGTCGTCTGTGATACAGGCTCTGATTTACGTGGATGAGCTTTTGATGTATGATTAATTAGATTGGAATGCGCTGTCAAGCGTTCAGCAGTGGTTGTTTTCGTCTTTACTGTTGGTGATGCTGGTTTAAGTGTAGACAATGATCGGTTAGATGATTTCGATAAATCTGTTCCAAGTGATTTTGTAGATGTAAGTGACTTTGACTTTTTCACATCAATAGTTGATGATGCTGGACGCTTTTGTGGTGAATCAACAACACCATGTGAATGATCCACTTGCTTTGTATTGATTCCATTCTTTTCATGAATTGGTTTCTTGAGTGAATGTGCTGTTGTTGGTGATGTTGAGGATAACAATAGTTTTGTGGATGGAGTAGTTGTAGACTTTAAATGATTTTGATGAGGTGGAGCTGATGAAATATTTCTTGATGGCATTGGTTTTGTATTCAACGTACCCGTTGTCTTATGAACAATAGTTTCTTTTACAGTTGTTGTATTCGTAACAGGTTTTCTTTTAGCACAATTAGGTGGAAAAGAAAAAAAAAACCACATTAAAAACCAAGAAGAAGACAATTATTTATTCAAAATACTTGTGTAATGTATCGAAAATGAAGGTAAAAAAGGATAATAAGGGGAAATTTTAATTCACAAAAGACAACAACGTAACATGACAAATAGAACAAAATGTGCGTCCAAGATTCTACTGCTAATGAGTAATTGTGAGAAATTAGGTAGTTGTGAGGTAGATCATATGGCAACAGAGGTCAATTAATTGCGTCTAAAATACCAATGCGGTATTATAAGTACCAAAACATAAAAGCAGATGCCTGCTGCACAAGAAGTGGCTCTAGTGCCTCCAATGATCTAATGGGTAACGCTTTGACGTTTAATACGATGGTTACTGGATTTGAGTCTCAGTGAGAACAACGTCAAGCACATAGGTACAGGTAAGTCTAGCTGATGATTTGGTCCCAAATAGAATGAAACGCACAACCTGAATTCCACTGATAACCACCAGAACAAAACGTGGAAGCAGTCGATGAACTTTCTCACTATTGGCCTGAGTCATGTGGAAAGATGAAGACTATCTGGTTGGTTGAAGCCATCGAGAAGAAAAGAGTCAGTGGTCGAGGACTAGTGGTAACATAACTGAAAATCGGTCACAGTGACGCAGATGTTTTCACTCCTTCATATCTTCTAAAACTTGAAAATTCGCACGAACCTTCATCTTCAGATGGCTTATTCTCTCACACAACCTTAACTACTTTGATATGATGTTTCTCTATCCACCTGTTCTATGTACACTACTGAAAAGTATGAGAACTACAGTCGATGCACCTGTGTACGAGGTTCTACGCTGATTATAGCGACCAGTCAATCAGCAAGTCACCAGACAGACATCAAAACAACAATATGAAGAAAAAAGATATTCAAGTCACCTTCAATGTATCTATAGAATAAACAAACAGGTACTTAAAATACTACTCATTTAAACTTTTCCAGTAGTTTCATTCGTATACCACATTCACACAAGAAAATTATGAAACAGTTGCAAAAATAAGACACATTCGTAAAAATCGACAGAAAAAGCACAGACATCCTACCAAAATTTTCTCTTCTATAAATCGAAATGAAATAGACCTACAATAGAAATGTTCATTTTATTCTTGGCGGTTTAATTACAAAATCTTAAGTGAGAAAAAAAGACAAGAAAATTGAAAAACAAATAAAAACGATAAATTTTTGAAAGAGTTGAGGAGATTCGGAAATATTTCAAGTTGTTATTCATCGTAGACTGATATCAGTTGGAGGAACAAAGGAAACCTGGGAGCACTGGACAACTGTTTCGTCCTAGTATGGGACTCCTCAGCAGTGCGCACCCACGACCCCACACCAGCAGGGATCGAACCCGCGACCTTCAGGTTCCGCGGCCAGCACTTTACCATTGAGCCACTGGGTCAGAGTCCGATGCTGAATATTTCCAACTTCTGTTACCTCACGATATAGCGCAACCGCCACCCAATGTCATGGTTGAGTATCTGTCCTCATGGCCATGGCTTTGACGCTATATCGTGAGGTAACAGAAGTTGGAAATATGCAGCATCGGATTCTGACCCAGTGGCTCAATTCTAACGCGCTGGCCACGGAACCTGAAGGTCGCGGGTCCGATCCCTGCTGGTGTGGGGTCGTGGGTGCGCACTGCTCAGGAGTCCAATACTAGGACGAAACAGCTGTCCAGTGCTACCAGGTTTCCTTCGTTCCTCCAACTGATGTCAGTCTACGATGAATAACAACTTGAAAAACGATAAAAACAAATTAACCAAATCAAACATTCAGATAGTTACTCAACGACGACATTGGATGTAGGTCCCACTACATCGTGAACTGACAGAAGTAGGAAATATAGACCACTGGACTCCGACCCCTGTGGTTAGCTCAATGGTAACATACTGGCCACAGAACCTGAGGGTCCTGGAGTTCGATCCCCAGCGGAGCGAGATCATGGGTGCACACTCCTGAGTAATCCCATACTGAGACAAAACAGCTATTCAGTGCTCTCAGGTTTCCAATCTTCCTCCAACTGATGTCAGTCTATGATTAATTCCAACCTAAAACTGGTTAACAAAACCTCCACAAACCTCCAGATAAAACCGAATTTTTTGAATAAATAGATTTCTCACCGATATTTAAAGTTAATAGACAGAACAACCTAAACCAAACAATATTAAACAGGCTTTTCTCCCTTAAAATTTGGAGAGTAGAATATACAGACTTCAGAGCTTCACGCTAACCACTAAACTAGGCGTACTATTCAGTGAACAAGTTGTGTACTCAGTTCGTCATACCAGCGGTGTAAACATATGTCTATGCAGTGTTTGTACAAGTTACTTTCTTTTTAAGCCCATATGCAATAAGCATCACCATCCATCAAAATCATTACAGGTTATCTGAGATAACCGTAGTTTGGTAGACTGTTATTATTAATGCTGGTTCATACCGGGATACATATTCAGCGACCTACAAGTTACCTGCTCAATGGTCTATCAACTGAGCTATGGAACCCCAGATGCTAACCAGATACTAATGTGAATTCAATCTTTGAGAGTTTTATTCTACCACCATATGAATCTGTGATACGTGATTCTCTATTCACCTGCTTAGTCAGATTTGTTCATCTCAATCCAGATCAAACTGAATTAGAGAGGGAAGGAATGTTGTACTGATTGTCAATCATACCGATTAGCCACCTCTTTTAGCTTAATTCTATCGTGAACAAGACTTTCATTTCACTTCTAAACATCACTTAAAACAAGTGGAAATACCTTTCTTTGTTGAATGATGTAACTGAGTACTAATATCAATATATGAGTGGAAGAAAAACTTCTAACATTCTATAGTTGTTTATCAATTAGTTACTATGCATATAAAATTATTAATTATAAGAAAAAAACACAAAGCAAACTAGGTTGTTAATCTCCAAACATCTCAAAAAACAGGAATGTGAACGTTTCATCACTAGACTCACTAACTTCATCAAGCTCAGAGAATACCCCCAAGCCACTATCATTACTCATCCTCAGCTACATATCTCTTCCATCATTTCAAAGATTATTATAAAAGAAGATAACGTAAAACACAGACTAAGATATGAATTTCAAGCTAAATCATATTCATTCTTCTGGTCACTGGTCTCTTTTTCTTGTTTGGAAAAAGTCAAACCAGGAAAATTTGTGTCCAGCTAAACTTCCTAAAGTCTCAACTAGATAAGGGTACAAGTTGACAAAAGAGTAAACAAAGCGAGAAGTTGTGAAATGTCATAAAACAAAGAGAAAAGGAAACGAAAGGTATACAATTTAAGTTTATATATGTATCAGCCATCGGAGAGTGTATACATCTGGGCTAATGTGACTGGTTTTCAAAATCTCGATCTCAGTCAGACAGTCTACACCCTTCTGCATAACTGAAACTAACGGTCAGGAACTTCATAGATATTGACATGGTCTTGCTTAGGCTTTTTATCATACAGTCCCATCTTTGATTACTTTCTTCACTTATATCTATGTAGAATCTCGCATACATGTGCACTACTTCAAGTCGCCACACTTCGGAGAAGTATACAAAGAACAGTCGGATAGAAAAAGACTCATATCAAAGTAGACAAAGTTGTATCAGAGAATAAACAATTTGAAGAAAACGGTTAGTGTGAATATTCAGGCTTTAGAAAATATCACCACTAGTCCTCGAGCACTGATTTCTTTCGTCTAGGGGACCCTAACTAAGGAGTAGATGTCTCCCTACATAACTGAAGTGAACAGTGAGAGACTTCATCGACTATTGTCACGTCTTCGTATTGCCACCCTAAATGCTCTTCCTGCCTAATCCAAACACACACCCCTCCTAGCACGGCACGTCGGAGTAGGCGGTGATTCAGCATGAGCAACATATATCCAAGCCATATTAGTCGACTAAGGTTCACAACCTCATCAACTGACCTGCCTGTCTTATCTAGTACCCTTCACATAACTGGCTTCAACATTGCTTACACGGTGATTCCATCAACTGCGAACTTTATATATCAATGTGTAGAAAAAAGGACTAACATTCATTGGTTGAATGAAAGCAGATGTTACTGGTTACCCAATACACACTGAATACACTCTCAACTTTTACTAACTCTTTGTATCACTCAACTTCAGACTATGTCACTACTTGTATTCAAAGTACCCAAATACCTTTTTAATTGCAATTCATGCATAGAAGACAATTATGAAAGTATTCAACAATAAGCCATTTTGTTCCTTCAGAAATACAGTTATATATGGAACTAATTAAGAGATAGGCGTGGTTTTATTGAAACAATCTAATTACGCATTGAAGTAGGCCTTCGTGAGAGAGAGAGAAACTGAATTTGGAGAAGATACATACATACATACATACACACACACACATACACAGAGAAAAAAATGCAAAAACCATTGGCTATTTTCTCCAATTTGATCGATTATTATTGTTGTTTACATTTCTTGACGAAAAATTATCGGGAAGAGAGAATATGAAGAACCAGAGTGAATCATCATTGTTCCGCTCTATCCACCCTAATTTGTGATATGATGTGATGAAGCTAATGGGTATTTTAACTTCAAGATATCAGTTGGGGAATCATTGAAAATATGAGAGCACTGAACAGCTGTTTCGTCCTAGTATGGGACTCCTCAGCAGTATGTACCAACGACACGTCTAGGGATCGAACTCAGGACCTTCAAGGCGAACGTGTTAAACATTCAGCCAATTGAAGGCCTTGGATGATAGTCACGGTATATCGTGAGCAGACAGCAGTAGGGGACTGTAAACCATTGAATATCGATCCAATGGCAGAATGGTTAACATGTTATGTCCCGGGTGGGTGCATACTGCAAAGGACACCTAATCTAAGTCGAGTACTAACTACCCCAACAACCTCGACATACATCTTAAGAAAAAATATCTAGGAAATGAAAACAAAATGAATGT